CCCCGCCCCGGGCGCTCAGAAGATCTTCACCGACTCCAGCTGCAGGTCCCCGCCCACCTCCAGCAGGCGCGCGCGCGCCGGCGGGATGCGGTAGCGGAAGTGGTGGTATTCCGAGTCCCCGACCACCGCCTGCGGGGGGATCGGGGCTTCAGGATCGGAGGCACTGCGGGTCAGTCCCGACCCCGCGCCACGCTGTGTCACCTGGGCCACTCGGAGCCCGCCGGGCCCCAGGCCCCATGGGAAGAGGGGGCTGGTGTCCAGTCTAACCGTGTCGGAGGATAAGGGAGCTTACTGTTGCACAGGGGGCTTTTGAAGGGTCGGCGGGGCTGTGAGTCCCCGATTACGGCGTCCACGGCCCCACCCCTGACGCGCAGATTGAAAGTAGGGAACGGTCTGTTGGTGGAGGGTCTGCGGCGACCACCCCTCGCAGGGACTTGTGTCTGGGCCCGTCTCCCAGCCCAGCCTCGCCCCCGCCGCAGAGCCCTGAGCTCAGCACCAACCACAGGGAGTGGGGTCTGGATAGAAGTGTGGGCCACGCCTCCCTGCCGGGACACCCACCCTCTGGGCACTTGGCTCTTGCTCGCTGGTCCCGCTTCTGCCACACACCTGCCCTCTGACACTAATGCGTTTGTGCCAAGGGAGGGAGAGGGCCTGGGGACACGTGCCCAGCCTTGGCCACCTCCACCAAGGGCCTTCCCCCAACTGCAGAGGAACCTGGGTCTTGGCGCCCACCCCTGAGGGAGAGACACACCTTGAATCCGTCTTCCGTGGCGATGAGGAGCACCTCGAAGGGCTGCCCATGCTGGAAGGGAATGCCACTGCCCCGCTCCTCTGGGCCCCAGGCGCCCTGCTCCAGGGTGTTGAAGACCACTGTGGACTCGTTCAGCCGGGGGTTGAAATGCAGGGCGTACTCAGCATCCTGCCCCTCGCTGCACAGCAGGTTCACAAAGAACCTGGTAGGTGGTGGGGGGAGAGGGGGTGTTGGATGGACATCAGCGGCCAGTGGACAGGACTTGCCATTGCCAGAGCACACCCAGATTTACAGGGACCTGAGAATGTCACACACCACCGAAGGAGGGCTTGGGGACTGGTGGCCAGGGAGCCCTGATACCAGGGCGTCCAAAATCTTGTTGGGGGCCTGCAAGGGGGCCACGATGCTATGGCCTGGGTCCCCTAATTTCTGGAGTCTGGGAGTTGCCATGGACTCCTGGTGCCGATGGCCAGGGTGCCCCGATGGCCAGGGTACCCCGATTCCCGGGGCACCCCCAGTTCCCAGGGGGCTAGGAACAATACCAGGGACCCAATATTTCCAGGCCCCCAGATTCCCAGGAAGCCTGGAGTTCCCGGACCCAGGAAGTCACAGGGTTGATGGCCCAGGCCTCCCAGATGCCAGGGCCCCTCCAGGTCGCAGGGCGTGCCTCCAGAGTTCCTGGGACGCAGACTGGAAGCCGTAAGACTAGGAGCCCTGAGATGGCCTTGGAGCCCCAGACGCGTCAGGAGACATGGGGACCCCAGCTCCACAGTCGGGGAGCAAAAAGGGAAGACATCAGATTCCAGAAGGTCAGAAATGGCCTGGGGATTCTAAGACCCTGGTGGGCAAAGGTCGCTCCGGGGCCCTGACCTCTGGACTTGCGGTCACCTGAGCCTGGAGACCACCCACCCCTTCCTACTGGGACCCGGCGTCTCACCGGTTGGCGTTGTTGGGGACAACACCACGAATCCTCATCACGGTGCCGACTCGGATGCCCTCGGGCAGCGGGGTCTTGTGGTGCACGTCCTGCGGGGAAGGGGCCGGGGGTGCATCGAACAGGGTGACAGAGGAGGGAGACTGATGGGTCAGCCCCAGGGGGCCATGAACAGGACCCAGAGCAGCAGAATCAGGGAGAAGGGCACAGCGAGGAGAGAGAGCCCGAGACAGGGAGAGAGCTGCAGAGAGAGACACAAAGAATC